GGGTTTAGGGTTTAGGGACAGGTTTTTATTCCCGAGCGAAACACAGGGTATATGACTGGGGCACACAACATGGTGCTACTTTCAAAAGCCGGTTCGAAGGTATGAGAAGGATGGGCGTTGGATTCAAATTGTAGCGTGTTTGTTTGGGAAACGAAGACGAACCCGCGAGCTACAACATCATGTTTTTGCAGCCCTAAACCCTAACCCTAGACCCGAAGCCCTAAACTCTAGACTCTAAGCCCTAAACCTTGAGCCCTGAGCGCTAAATCCTCAGCCCCAAACCCTAAGCCTTAAACCCCAAGCCTTAAACCTGAAGCCCTAAACCCTAAACCCTCAGCCCTAAACCCAAATCTACCCCAAACCCCCCATGGCCTAGAGAACAAAAACCGTTCATGATGTGGGCAGGTTCTTCCATATGAGCTACAGTCTAAAATCCTCAGAAAAGGGTATAGGGGGGATGATATAATAGTGGACTACTATAGGGGATATTAGGGGGGGATACTACGAGTTTTGACTATAACTCATACTGATACGGGTTCCTTTTGAGCTGCCTCCTGTGCCTTCCCTGTTTGGGGAGGGAGGTCCGTTGCTTTTTTGCCTCTGCCTTTTTTGTTGTAAAGCTTCTGTGTTTTCATGATCCAAAAAGGCAGAGAGGATAATAATGACTTCGAATATGGTGACGCGGATGCCCGGTAAAATCTACAATCCTCTCCCCACAGTACCCGGCCCTAAACCTCATTAGACACTGTATAGCCCCATTTTCCATTTCATTGTTGATTTTCTTGTCCATTTACTTCCTCACGCCTCAAGAGGATGAGCTGAGGTCCTTGTGCAGAAGCCCAAATACGTGTTGGCAGACGAGGCAGCAATTTTGACAGCACACGAAGCGTTAGTTTGTTGTTTGGATTTGGGATTCTAGGATGTTTTGCAGAGTATAAGGTTTCACTTTGAAGCTTAGGGGTGCTGTGTTTTAAGGCTCGGTGCATTCAAGCAGTGTCCCTGCGATTCCCCCGGAAGGAATGCCTGCTCGGGAGGAAGTCCCAACCTCTTGACCATGCTGCCGAACTCAAATCCTCAACCCTAAACCTCAAACCCTAAACCCTAAAAGCATGAACCGCGTGGGGGGGAGGATGCCGGCGTTGCAACCACTTTCTCGGGCTGAAAAGTTTGATAACCGTTCTTCTAAATGGGGCTTCATGTCTGTTTAGGATTTAAGGCTGAGGGTTTAAGGTTTAGGGTTTGGGGATGGACTGTCGGTCTGGGCCTTACCCTGCCCAGAAGCAAGCATGGAAGTCCAAAAAGGGTGGCTATAACATATATATATATATAAATAATTTTTTGGGGATATTTGTTGGAGATACATAGGGCTTTGTAGGGTTTAGGGTTTCCTTGAGCCCTCCTTGAGCCCTAAACCCTGAACCCAAGCACCTATAGCTTGGCGGATCACCACCAGACTTCAAAGAAGGCGCCCTCAGTAACCCGCAGCTTTTCTATGTAGACCCCTGACTAATGAACCCCCTTCTTTTAAGGGCCCTTCATGTTAGGATCCCGATTATAATCCCTAGTAAGGGGAGGGGCTTTATTAATCAGGGGTCTACACTATGTAGGGCTGAAGGGTTGGGTTGCAGCTGCCCACCCATCATCCCTGGTTAGAACTTTGGGCTCGAGAAAGTATTGCGGGGCCTTGAACCCTGAGCCTCAAACCCTAAACCCTAAATTATATGGCTACCCCAGGCTTAATGGATTTAGGGGAGGATTTAGAGGAACCCTAAACCCCAAACCACGTTGTTTTGGGGAAATAAGCCCTAAGCCGAAATCTTAACCCCTAACCCTCAAGCCCATATAAACTTACCATTACTTAGGGTTCCCAAACTTCCTACATTCAACCTAGAATTGTAGAATCAAAATGACCCCTCCGGACCCTGAGTAATAACAATAAACCCTAGAATCTGTGCGTTGCTCTACAAAAGGCTCCCTGTTTTACAGTTCCTCCTGGAGTGGCTAGCTTCAGGACATTTCAAATGGACCCTTTTGGTCGCAATGTGAAGTCCCTTAAAAGGGTTAGCAGGGCTTGTCTAGAAGCGTGCAATGGGTTGGCAGGTTTAGAGATGAGGGTTTAGGGTCTAGGTCTTGGGGATTAGAGTTCACGGTTTTGAGATCCGTGTTTCGGATTGTCAAAACATGTCAGAACTCTGCGCCCCTTTTCTCGGGGTAGCCCATCTATGAGGGGGGTATCAACCCAGGACCCCAAAAAGGGAGGCTATTCTATTCACAACCCTAATACCTATTTAGATTGGGTACTGCCCCCGGTCATATTAAGGGCTATATAGAACTATATTATAAATATTATCCAACTGTTACTGAATGGGGGCAGTATCCAACTAATACCTATTTAGATTACTGTCCTTACAATAACAGGGGTCTTTATCAGGTACCATGTTAGTTGTGGGGAGGGTGTGTTGTGGGAGTTTCCATTAGCAACAGACTCATATACAATAGGCCGTGCTAGGGGGACCAAAAGGCGCCCCCATTTTGGAAACGGGGCTTTGTGGGCAAGTTAGGTGATGCCACAGGGCAAGATGGACTTCCTTTTTGGAAGCACATTAAAAAATCCTTTAATCGAAAAGTACGTCCGCATTTTCGCGGTACCTACATATAGTAAGGATGAAGGCATTTTTGGTCTATATTGGGGGTCCTTCCTATTTTGGAAACTACCCATACGTCAAGCCTGCAATTTCAAGTGGATCATAGTTTGGGATGGTGTTGGGCATTTGTCGGGGCCTTCATTGTAAATTCATGCCAGGTGCTTTAAGCCACAACTCACCCTATAGTCTCCCTTAAGTAGATAGAATTTCTAGAATATGCGGTATATGGGGATCTTATTATGATATACCCAAAGACATATTGCATCTACTAAAGGGGGGCTAAACCCTACGCTTGCCAAAGGGTTTCGGGTGGAGGAGTGCCTCAAGATCCAGTCCGTAAATCCTAAACCCTATCAAGCATGATTATTGGCTTAGGTCCCTGTGTTCTGAACTCTATAGACCATGGTTAGTATCTTGGGTGCCTAAATCCTAAACTCTATAAACCATAGTTCGTCTCTTTTGTGAAGCCTACCGTAGGTGGCGACTGCAGGTATGTCATCTAGTGCTACATTGAGCCCTGCCTTAGATTCAGATTTAGGGTTTAGGGTTTGGGGTTTATGGTTTGGGAGTTTAGGGTTTGGGGTTCAAGCTCCAGGTTTGGATTGCACATGAGCTGTGTACTATCAATCTTCCTGCTTGCAAAGTGCTAGGGGTGGACCTACGGTTCTTCATGGTTATTATTGAATGTTCTTCATAATGGAGGGTCGAGGTATATACCGTCTATATGGTAGTTTCCCGCAATTGGGGACCTCAATATAGACCCCAAGATATTATGATCCTTGCTGTGGGCCCTTGAAGGACCACCACATACATGGCTCGAGGCTTTTGTCGCAGGCTTGACCTTAAACCCTTAACTGCTTGGGTTGTAGGGTTACGCCTTGCAACGACATCAGACTGAATAGGCTGCTGGTTGGGAGGCGGTGCTCATAGCAGTGTAGTTCCAAAATTCATGTTGTTTTCCAAAATTTGGGGGTACCTTTTCCAGGGGGTACAGCGATTATACAGGGACATATAGGGTTTAGGGTTTAGGGGGTTCAAAATTAGGGGTACCTTTTCGGGCTCCCTAAAATAAGGACTACAATTTTTTTGTGTCTGTATTGGGATCTTCTTGTTGTGGAAAACTACCATATTGTGAAGGATCAAAGTCCACGTCTCAAACATACAGTCTTAATTTAAAGTCAGGCTTAGGCCTTCCAATGGTGTCTGGGCGACACCCCTGGCCCCCTAAACCTTCAACCCTAAGCCTACACCCTATTAAACCCTAGAACCCACAAAGACGTTGGGCCAAGGCCATACTTCGGCACTTCATTGAACCCCAAACCACGTGATCAGAAGTGTGCTGTGGCTCCGTGTCAACATGAGAGGGCTTCAGGACACCTGCTGGGCGCCTAGGATTTTACCCGCCAAATCCAATCTGGATGCCTTGCAACCTTCGAGAATGACGCCTCCGTAAGCCCCGAATGATACTCTGATACGAAACACTCATGTGCATACTGGATAGGGTAACCACCAGTTCGTCCAGCTAGTCCTCAATTTTGGACTACTGCGGCTGACGGACGCCAACGTGCGGCTTGCGCCTTGCATGTTGTTGCTGCATGCTGAGCCAGACTGCAAGAAGATTTCGCAAACAGTTTGTTCCCCCGACTGCAGAGGCGTAGGCCATGGGCTTTCTGAAAGGGTCCAGTTCTTTCCTCTTCTGCGATGGGACAGGTTAAGTGGGTTGCTGTTCAGGAATTTAAATTACGGTACTATAACAAGGAGACCCTATCATTACCATATACCCACTTAAGGCGCTCTGAAGACATGGAGGCGGACGTCTTCAGAAAGAGTTGTCTGTCGGAGAAGAATTTTGCACAACGTGCTGTTTGGCGTTTACAGCCATTTCGCAGAGTGTTCAGTTTGGCCAACTGGCCGCCAAGTGGGTGTTCCGCACCAGATTTTGGCTTGATGTGGCACGTTTTATGTCATTGGCGGCCCCTGTCCCAAACAGTTTTGTTCTGATCCTCAACAGCCAATCGAAAGACTCGCTGTGGAACTTGGGCCTCAATTCCTTCAATTGAAAAGCAAGCTCTCGAATTTATTTCTGGCCCTTGAGAGTTATGATTTTGCCGGGCCGCATAAACCATAGCAGATTCACAGCCATGTCCACGTCCCCGAAGCTTACTATTCACAGGCACCCATTGGCAAACCAAGTGCAGGATTGGTCCCCTCCATACGGTCTCTTTGCTTCCTTTTGCTAGTCGAGCCCTAAACCCCCAACCCGTAGCTCCGAACACACAAACACATGTTCGTCAAGCCTTTTGTTTTAGAGGTGGACTTTGCCTGTGGCTTGGGGCGCGCCACCGCTGAAACATACTTAAAGCAGTGTCTATGGTAGAAGTCCATGAGGAAAACTTCCATGTAGAGACCTCCTAGCAACACAGTTCGCAGCACGGGACCTTGCCAACACGCGTGGGCTTGTTGCGCAATGTTTAATGGGAAATTCGCGACCTACCGCAGCAGTTCAACATTCCTGAGCGAAGGTTTGCGGACTCATTTTGCAGCATTTAACGCAAGAGAACGTAAATGCCGGTCCTTATTTACACGTTTGTAGGGCTTTCGCTTTGGCAAATCGAACCCGTTTTTCTGGCTGCTATGGCTATCATTCCTGGCTCGCTATTCTATCGGCTGGCATGCTCTACTCGAAACCCCCTGCTTAGTAGCCAAGCTGCCGTATAACCTTCCAACTTGGGGTGTTGAAGGTGACGTCCGCGAATGACCCGGCCCACGAACCTTTGTGCAAAAGTATGGCTCAGAGGTCTAGGGTTGGTGTAGGGTTTAGGGTTTAGGGCTTAGGGTTTACAGAGTTGCCCATTTTCTGTTGGAGGCGGGGGGGTGAGGTCTCAGGCCTGCAGATTGCCATGTCCGTGTTGGAGGTACGCTGGCTTGAACCTTCAGCCTGGGAGAGTTGCATAGACTTTTCAGGGATGCCGGATCTAAGGTCCTAACCATGAGCATGAGCATCTAGTACGGGCCCTCGATCTGATTCCTGGGTTTGAACTATGGGGGTTTCTAGTATTACATAAGGTATATACTAGCCATATAAAGGGAGTATACCAGAACCCTTAGTGGCGGAAATTTCCAAGCTCACCAGCCCCGCGGTTTTACGGTACCCTTTCACTTCCTAGGCATGAAATGCCAGAGAGAACCCCAAACTTTTCCAATCAATGTCGCTGGCACTACAAGGTTCCAGAAGCTTAGCCGATTACCATGTACATCGTTCGAGCACGCAAGGCGTAATCAGCCAGCTCCGCGTTAAATCTTAAACCCTGAACCCCCAACCAGGGGGCCTGAAAACTCCGTCTTGGTTGTATTTCCGTCATCTGGAGAAAGTGTCAAGGTATCCCTCCCCACTTACCTCCACTTTTTGGGTCGTCACGTCATTCCTCCCTCATTCGTAGATATGGCTCCGCATAAGACTGTAGGTCATTGGGGTTATAGGTTATCTATGAGTGCTGAGGGAACTGCATTGCAGCGCTCGCTACAGTGTTAGTTTTGGTTCTGTGGCGACGGACCCTAAGCCACACCAATGCTGCCATGCCCTTTCTTGCCGGAGCCCAAACTTCCAAACCCTAAACCCTGAACCCTAAGGTTGATACAGGACAGAGTCCCAAGTTGGTGAAATTTCGGGTTTAAGATTGCTAGAAAATGGCCAGCTCCGAAAGGGGCTTGTCCCTATGACCAGCACAACCCTCAGCCCTACCCTACCACCCTAAACTGGAAACGTTAAACGTTAAACCCTAAACCCTAAACGTTAAACGCTAAACCGTAGACCCTAAACCCTAAACCCTAAACGTTAAACGCAAGCCTAGGAGGAGATCGTTTACCAGTGCATCGTTTCGACCTGCCAGGAGCGAGGATTAGAGCTTACTGGGTTGCTGTTAAGGAACTTACATTAAGTTACTATATTATCCCCCTATAATGGAGAATCAAATGGAAAAGAAAATGGAACATGAAATGGAAACCGGGGGAATATAGAGATTTAAGGAATTAAAATTAAGTTACTACATTGGGGAAACCCTATTATTTACTATATGTACCCATTGTGGTAACTTAATTGAAGTTCCCTAACAGCAACCCAGCCTAGGGTTTGCAGCTTCGGGATACATTTAAGGGTACCATGTCAATGTACTGTAGGTTAAGGGCCTAGGGGATTTAGGGCCTACTTATATGCCGAAATATGGAGAGCAGGTTTAGGGCTGAGGGTTCAGGGTGCTATAGGCGCCGAATTAATTACAAATATGCATACTAAAACGGGAAGTAGATGGGAAATGAAATGGAGGGGGGGGGGGTAGGAGTTTACAGAGGTTCTGAAATACAGGACACTGAGTAATTACCAATCTCATGGCCCTTAGTTTCTTGTATGGTTATGGCATGGGATACCGCAAATAGACAAAACGCGAAACTGGCAATGACTTGGGCCCCTGTAGTAGAGTTTGGGGCTTGCAGTTCATGAGGTTGCAGGGAGATAGGGCGTGTAACATAGGTTAGGAGGACTCCTCACCCTGTAATAGTGGTCTAATAGGAATACAAGAGGACCCTAATATATTCCCTATTATCCCCTATAGTCACTATTGCTGGGTCGGGGGTCCACCTAAAACATAGGCCTCTTTCAGTAGGTAGATTCTTTACATAAGGAAGCCTGGAGTATTTTCCCTGCCTCTTTCAGTTTCTTTCGTTGAAGGAGGCCCTAAACCGTACGCTCTAAACCCTAGACCCTAAACCCTAGCGAGACCATGAACCCTATAAATCCCCAACCCTAAATCCAGAAAACCCTAAGCCATAAAGCGTGCGGAGGGCGGGGCTCAGGCTTTGCGAGCTCAGGGACAGCTCCTTGCAGCCGGGAAATTCCCGCAAGCAAAGATGATAACCCCACCGAGGGTTCCAGAAATTAGGGGTCCCTAGACCAAGGAGTACAGGGATTTGGTGGTATCTAAGGGGCCCCAGTTCAGTTCACAACAAGGTCCCAGGTGCCACATTCGAGCAGCCGGAGTGATCTCACGCGCAAATTGCGGGAGCTGTGCCGCGAGGGTGGTTTATGTAGGGATTATAGGGTGAATATTACGGTTCTATAGGGGATAATGGAAAAGAAAATGGAAACTATTATAATGGGTTATGTAGGGATTATAGGGTATGTAGTACTGGAGTCCTACAGCCAGGGATGAGTTTCTTGAGGCGATGTGTCTGCGATGGTGTATCTAAACTATATTGGGATATTATCCCCCGACAATGGAGAACCAAATGGAACAGAAAATGAAGATTAAATGAAAACTGGGCTATATAGGGGACTATAGGGTTTGTAGTCTAAACTCCTAGTATCCCCCTTAACAGGCCCCGTAATAGTCTCATATAATCCCGTGTATACCCCCCTTTAAGAGGTTTAGACTGTAGAGTGGGCTTATGGCCGTCACATACTTGTACCCCTCGTCCCACCTTGACGGGGATCATCACTTCATGCGTTCTGGTCAGAACCAGGAATTTCTTCACCAACTCCAGTAGACAGTCCCACCACGTGCTGAGCCAGCCGATTGGCCTACCGTTTTTGCACAAGTCGTGTGATGGTCCGGGGCTGTTTGACTGAAAGCTCGGCTGTTTGGCCCGGACCATTCCTCTGGGGAACAATGCGGGGCTTGCCATAGCAGACCCCCCCCCCCCTATCGTGCCCTTCCGCAACAGTACTCCTCATTAGTTCCAGGTGACTTTGGAAGCCTACACACTGGAGTTTAGGTCAGAGGTTGATGCAAGGACTACTCTTCGTGACTTGCCTGGCTCTGAAGGACCCATGCTAGGGTGGATGGAAGAAATACGGTACCTCTCAAGCTTCTTTCTAGGCTGGGAGGTCCTAGTTATTTGAAGGTTTTCGGCAGACTGAAGTTTAGGTAAGCGTGCCATGTAAAGTCGAAATCCCTAGACCCCGGATCCCCTCAGCCTTCACATGACCCCGATACACCTCAATCCGCTTATGGCGCGCAATGCGCTCTTTAGCAAGCTCCACTCCAAAACCTTATCTGGTTGTTAGTAGTCAAGATTGGAATACAATCCCTATCTTATCCCGATATGATATAGTCTTTCATTCCCTACTAACAACTAGCAACCAGGAAGAAACTGTCTGGGACAGGCTTTCGTTTCGGTGGGCCATCGTAAAAGCCTCGAGGCAGCGAGTTCGCAGACGCAGGGCTGCGGTGGCAGTTTAGGGTGTCGGGTTCAGGGTTTAGGGTTTGTGGATTAGGGTTTAGAGAGTTTAGGAATTAGGGTTGGGGTTTGGGGCATGGATGCAAACAAGGACGCTCCTTGTACCCTTTAACAGAGGTAACCTGGTCCCCGATGGTGGGTATTTGGGGTAAACAGAGAGTAGACGCAGGGTCTGGGGCAAATTTTGGGGTTTGGGTTTATCCTCGATTGCAAAAGGGCGGGGGGTGACGGCTTAGAAGTTGGAGCTACATGGAAATTCGGAATGCCAAGTTCCCAAACTGCTGAGAGGGAGAAATCGGGTGGAATAACCAGATCATGAGTCATGAGAAATACACTCCCGGAAACTAACATGGAAACCCAAAAAGGGCCCTATAAAGACTACAGTCCTGCTAAAAGGGGACTATATGGGTTTCCATGTTAGTTTGGGAGAGTGTAATGGGCAGGCAGGCTGCGAGAAGATTTAGTGGGTAATGCTGGTTTCAGCATTTTTTTTTTAAAGCTCTTCTGGGCTTCATATAGCGTCCTAAGCCCTGGAATGGAAAATGTTCAACCTTTCCGAGGGGCGTTGGGCTTGAAAACAGGTTGTGCGAATTTAGGGTTTTGAGGATGTACGTTCGCTTGACTTGATGTGTTTCTGGTGCTCTGTCATTTCATGCCTACGATTAGGATCTGCATGTGCTTAGCTGCCTGCCCAGAACTTTGAGCCTCGAGCTTATGAACTTAGAGATGAGTTCCCCCCCCCGCCCGGTAATAGGGACTATGAGGAACAATGGTGCTGAATATCAGGGTCTTTTTATACTCCAACTATATCAGGATTGCAAGGTCCTCCTAACTTACTGACCTTCAGCCTCGCAAGCCTGCCCTTCGGAGCCTTTGGCTTGAAGATTTTCACAAACCCTAAGACGAGCCCACTACACATGTCCCCAAGCGCCTAAATTCCTTGTCCAAATAAGCTACAGTAAGCTCCTTAAAGTAGGTCATATAGTGCTTATATCAGGTTCTATGATGCGGGCTGTTAAAGGGGGAGTTTGGACTATAGCTCCAATGCCGCCAACCTTGAACGACGATCTTTCAACACTTTGGTGCCAAAATGGTCAGGGAAGTAAGGTCTTTTTGATTCTTTTTGTGTGGGTTGGGTCCCCTTTCCTACTGGGTGTTAGCACGGAACAAGGGAAGGCATTAGATGGGGGTTATATAGGGATTTCATTTCCGTATTCCTGACTAACCACTAGCATGCTTTGGCCGAAGCTTGCAACCTTAGACCCTAAACCCTAAAATGCAAGCCGAGCCAGGCATACCACGCCTGGAACCTGCGGCTGACCGGACCGGACGGGAAGTGGTTGCTTGAAAAAAGACCTGATCGATGCAGGTTTGGTGGCCCAAGGTTGAGGGTTTAGGGTTTGGGGGCTTGGGGTCAAACATTTCGGAATTTTTCCGGGCTCAGGGTTTAGAATTTATTTAGCTCCCGAAAACCCTGACCCCTAAACCTTTAGGAGTCTTGATTCCTCCCAGGTAGGGTAGTCCTTCAGTACAGTACAGGAGCTCGCCAGTTTTCCACAGCCATATCCCTAGACTATCCAACTGCCCTATTAGTTGGGCCTGAGTACCCACTATTAGGTGCCATATAACCCCAATTAAGGGTACTAGGAGGGTCCTGGTTGTAAGCAAACTCCTGAAGCCGTTCGTGCATTTTTGTATTTCCGAGCTTTTGCGCAACCCCTGCTCAAGAAACCTGCTGGAGATCATAATCCCCCTGATATGAAAACCACGCACCCCTCTATTACTAGATATTCCAACCAAAGTATATGTGCCGCAATTGGAATGTTCAATCTTCAGGGAGGGCGAGGGGTTTTACACGATAGTATACAGTAATCAGAATGTCTAATATTAGGGATAAGGGGGCAGATGATTGGCGAGACTGCCTGTGCACACAACTCATCCCCAAACCCCATAAACCCAAACCTCGGCAGACCCTATTTTTACTTATGTTTTTACTAATCAAATTGATATGTAATACTTGTAGTAAGAATCACAAACTAATATGAAATATTTAGTAGTAAGAATCCTCATGCCAGTAATGCTAGCTATCATGCTACCAAAAGAAATGCCAATCCCTAACCCCTCAACACTCGAAAGCCTAAACCTCCCCTGGAACCCTGTATCTCAAGCACTCGCATACCTAATCCCCATATAACCCCTACAAGTACACTAAAATATAGTAACCTCCATTTTCTTCTGCAGTATTCCCATATAGCCCCAATATACCCTAAACCTTAAACCCTATCCTCTAAACCCTAAACCACATAACCCCAATATACTCGTCCGGCATCGCGCAGCTCTTGGCTATCACCAGCAGGCAATTCCGACCAATCCAACCAAGAAAAATGGCCCAAAGCAGCCCCGACGCACAGTCCGGGCCCTTGGATTAGGGTTTAGGGTTTAGGGCTTAGGACGTTTGACCCCCTAAAAGGCCCTGAAGCCCAAGAAGGGCTGCATACTCCAAGAACTACCCCAGCATTCCATGGGAAAAGGTGAAGTTTTTCGGGCGTCCATTCTATGCCGTTTATCTGGTCACATACCCCTCTCCAAAATGTAGCTGTTGCTACTGGGAGCTTTGAAACGGATGCATGACCGGAGATGACCCTCATGACAGTCAAGATTATTTTGGTAACCCCAAACTCCCAGACTCGGACCGGGCAGCAGTCCTGAAATTGGATGTGGGGGTGCCAGAGAACCAAAATGGCAGAGGGTTTTAGGGCATTCGCATGTCCTGGCAGCATGGAAGTATTGCGGTCACTGCAGCTGCTTAAGCCCCAAACCCTAAACCCAATCCTAAACCCTAAAACCCTAAACGGAAGAAACCCTAGACCTCTACATCTTTACACCCTAAATCCTAAAACTAGGCTTGCTTTAGCCAGCACCTGGCCTCCCCCCGCCTAAGCCTGTAGGGGTTAGGGCTTCAGGCAAAAGATTTCAGAAAGTATATTAGGGTTTTTTTTTCCTGCAAGCTTGTTTAGGGTTCGCGCTCAGGGGTGTTCACCTCTCAACACCCAGACACTTGAATCAGATTTGAAGAGGCGGGGTAAGATAAGGCTGAGGAGCCCTAAACCCTAAACCCTAAGACTTATCAGGGAGCTCCAGGTTCATAGGCGTTGACATCAAGTTTCGAAGCTTGACACCTCTGAACGCAGTGATGAATGTACATACCTTGGGCCCAGGTTTTGTGCTTCTAAGGCCTGAAAGGGATTTTCAAGAGTCTCTACGTATTGTGTGGCAGAAGCTTTTCCGTGGTCATGCCCTGCACCATGAAGGACCTTTAGCTCTCTCTACAGTTTAAGTGTTCAGGGTCTTGAAGTCTAAAACTTCCTTCCTCGATCCTAAGCCTTACTCCCCGAATCCTTGCAACCTCACACCTCCTGAACTTCAGGCCCCAATCCAATACCTAGGGATTCAGTCCCTAATCCCCTGGTCCCCAAACCCCTCGAGACGTGAAACCCGAAATCGCCCAAACCCCCCAAACACCTCTAAACCCTAAATCTCCAAACTCCTCAAGCCCCAGCCCCTAAACCCCCAACCCCTAAACCCTAAACTCCCAACCCCCCTAAACCCTTCAACCCCCTAAACCCCTCAAGCTCCAGGGCCATGATGGACAAGCTTGACTCCTTTGCCGCCTCTGCTCCCCCTGCGCCGGTGCCGCCAGCACCGGTGATGCCGTCGAAGCGCATGGTGGACTCAAGGCCGCCTGCAGCCCGGGGACCCAGCCGCAGGGTTTAATAAGGATTAAATGGTATAATGGGTTATATAGGGGTTAGGGATATATAGAGTGTAGAAACAGGGATATATAGAGTTTAGGGTAATTACCCGAATAATGGAGGATCAAATGAAAAAGAACATGGAAAATGTCATGGACGCTACTAATTAGGGTTTAGGGTATAGGGTTTAGGCCTTAGGGGAGGCCCCTTGCACCCTCGAAGTATGCTTAAGTGGGATATGGCCCCTGGTAGTGAAAACTTAGGCCGAAAGAGAGGGTTTAGGGTTTAGGAGCGCCTAGGTGTATAACGGTTTAGGATGTAGGCCACGAGTTTTCACAGGGGCAGATGGGGATTAACCGGGATTTCAACAGGCCATAAAGGAGAGAGTACATGGAAAAGAAAATGGACAAAGGAATGGACATGGGGTTGTACAGGGGTTTATGGAGGTTTTGTAATCTAGGGAGTTTAGAGCCAGGATTTGTGGCTTGGGGTTGGGACTTAGGCTTTTGAGAAGGCATCGAATACCTCAGGCTTGAGGGCCTAAAGTCATCCTGAGATCAGGGAAAAGTGGCTCCTGTATAATTGGGGTGTGGGCAGTAGGACCGCATAATTTAGTTTCAAGTTTTGACTGAAGTGGTGATTTACAGCCAGTTGCAGTGCACACAGGCCTCCCTCCATGCTCGGGGGATAGGGAACCGCTGTACTTATCATTTAACATTTCAGCAGACTGTTTATTCACTGGTCCTCGCTTTTAAGTGTTAAGGACAAGTGAGTAGCTGGGATGGGGGTGGAGCTCTTGAGTCAGAGTGACTGGGATAATGTGCCTCTTGTTCCCAACCGCACCGAACGACGGAATTGGGTATTGCAGTTATATATAACCCCTTTTATAACCCTATATATCCCTTTAAAGGGACCTAGAGTTTCCATTTTCTTTTCCATTATCCCAATATAACCCCTTAGACTAGGGATGCTAACAGGTACACGTTCTGTCGTCGCCTGTTCGGAAGGGGCAAGGTAGGTGAGGTGATTTTTTTTTGCTGTTCCGGATTACGGCCGCACGGAAATATACCGTCAAGTCCCATCGTCTGAAGGAACACATCGCAGCAAAGAGGCAGCGTACGCGGTCATCAGGTATGAGACCTCTCACAGGTCTCATAATGTTGAGTAAGCCCATAGACGAAGCTTTAGACTGCATTCCTGATGTTTGGCT